AACAAATGCTTTATTTAACTATTTTTAAAACTTCTTAATTCAGAGACTTACGTGAAAACCGATCCGTATTTGTCACCCAATTTAGTGATGGCTTTGTGCGGGTGTTGGCCGAGGAATGGCGAATACCCGACCACTGGTAGGCCTACCGGTCCCGACGGCAACCGCTGTCTCTCTTGAATCATATTCACTATATGTGTGACTAAACTGATAAACACTATAAATAGCGTAAAATACATCACATTTTCCAACAAATAATTAAACACAACGTGTAATAAAGTCATGTTTTACTCAAAGAATTAACTCAAAAATTGACAAAACTTTTCATAAAGTGTTTTAAAACTTTTAATTTGCTTTCGATTAATGTATGAAAAATTGAATTCTCTTTTATATACAAATGAAATAAGTTTTTGTTATCGCATTACTAGTAGATATCAATTTGTATCATAATTTGATATTAGGGTAGACTATTTACACTGTATTTACAAGTATCTTAATATGTTCCTAGATTAATAAGTTTAGTGCATTGAGTTGACTGTGTAAAATATACCAAATTATACAATTAGACACTTGTTATAAGACTTATAAACAGTATTAATTTTAGTGTTGATATAATTATGTAATCCTATCGAGCACTGGTAGGGAATTCATGATTTTCAAGGCTTTCCTTATTAACAGATAAACGATTAAAGGGTTAATCGTTAAATTCAATAACAAAATACTATTATTTAATTTAATGCATCAAAACATATTGAGAATTTAAAATTAAATTGTGCTTGTTAAATAAATTCTTAATACTACTATATATTCATTTAAATATAGAAAATTCTGTTATTTAAAAAATCAATAAACTATCAAGTGAATCAATAGACTAAATGTTTTATCAAATTTTATGAGCATGCAAATTGTTACCAACTATTTTTCCATGCTTATATTTGAATGAGCTTTTATAATTTATTAATATAATTAATACCATTATACACGTATGGAGTAAACCACGGATTATTTGATGGTACAAGAATATTCTTGATTGCATTGAGAATATTCTATAAAATTTAAATAACTGTCAAACATTATATTGTAGTACTCGTCTAATTGTTCAACAATTGGGAGGTATGATAGATAGTCTGACCGTATATATAGAGGGAAAATGATAACCAGGTACAATATTTATTATATTGTAAGGGGACTCTCCTAAAAGACCTAAAACCGAAAAGACCTAAACTCAAATAACTAACTGACCAATGGTCATTTGACTTAAATTATGTTAGGGTAAGTTAGATGAGGTTAGGAAAAATCTATTCCACTTATCAAATTTAAAATACGACCATTGGTCAGTTAGTTATTTTGGTTTAGGTCTTTCCGGTTTTAGGTCTTTTAGGAGAGTCCCTACATAGCACACTTGCCATAACCACCCTACAATATTATTTCAAAAAATCAACATGCACATACAGTATTTAAATAACCCCATAGATATTAAACAAACACAAAAAATAATTCTAATTAAAAGTTCAAAATTACATTTATTAAAAACACCACACAAATGAACTAGCTCATTATAAACATTAAACACAATTAGCAGTAAAAGTGAATCAAAAGTTTTCAATTCAAAACTCCTGCAAACAGTCCCCCAATAATCGTAACGTTGTTTATGTGAAGCCTTAATGTCTGTCTGTTTGCGTGAAAAACCAAAACAAAACACAAAAAACTTTTCACACATTTGTCTCAAGACATAGACATCACCGCCGAAGACCCGCACCGCCGATGACTGGCAAACACCGGAGCGACGTCTGGAAGCACTTCCATCGGCCACCGGTGGACACCACCTCTTCAGACACTGCGCTCACGTGCCGCCACTGCCAGCAACGGATCCCTTCCTCCACAGCGAAAAACGCCACGAAATTACGCCACCATTTGATCGCACGATGTCTTCGCATACCTCCCGATGAGCGCCAATCGCTTATCACTGACACCACTGACGATATCGTCGACAGTCACGTGACTACCGCCGAAGACATGTCAGACAACAGCTCTAAGACACGACCCAAACGTAAGGCCGCCGTCAAAGCGGAGGTAATCGTCAGCACCGCTGATGTCGACTACGAGGACATCGTTGGCGGCGATGGTAACCAAGACGTGGACTCGACGTCAGCTGCGGTTAAGTGCAGACAATTGGAGTCGCGGCTGAAGTCCATGACAGCAGTGAACCGGAGGTTAGCGTCGCGTCTCAGCGCTTGTCTCAAGCAGTACGAGGCGGTCGTCGGCCTCAACCGGCACCTGGAGGTCAGTGTCGGGCTTATGGAGCGTCTGGAGGCCGTCAACCGGAGCCGATCCATACGCTTCGACGACGGCCAGGATGTGGTGAATGAGTTGACGGATCAGTTGACGGCCAGCAATGGGGCGGCCGATGAGTGGCGCCGGAAGTGGCGGTCGATCGCCGCTCAAGACGTCAAGAGGTCCGCCGCGTCGTCGTCGACATCGAAGTCCACGCAAAGTAAGCACTCGTTTAAGACATTCATTGTCTGTACGTCTGTATCACCACTAATACCACTGTTTATTACACGCACTGATCATCACTGATAGGAACGGTAGCCGTAGCGCGTCAGTCGACAACACCCGCCTCCCGCCCGGAGTCGACAATCTGGCAGTACTTCCAACGGGACGACAGCAGCGGTTATAAAGTAATTAAATGTATTTTCTGTGACAAAGTGTTTAAGAAGAAGACACTGAATGCCTTCCAATCGCGCCTACATATCGTCGAGTCGTGCGATAAGTGTCCCAAACATGTCAGGGATAAGGAGAATATGTGGCGCCAGAAGTCCAAAGTCGACATTTGGCGGCACTTCGTGGTGACGGGCGGGGGCGAGGAGTTCAGGGCTCAGTGTCGGTACTGCGGGCACCGGTACCTGCACAGGAACGCCACGAAATGTCGCCGTCACCTCGTTTTTCAGTGCAAAACCGTGCCGGCGCTCACGAGAGATGAGATTAGCGGTCAGTGCGATTCGCACTTTTTGGCCAATTACTCGAAAACCGAGGCCCAGGCGCTCGAGGACAAGCTACAGGCGCTGTACCCGGTGAGCGCCGGTGGTGTGGAGGGCGGCGGCGATGGGGGATCGCCAGCCAAACGCAAAGTAGACATTTGGTGTCACTTCGACGTGACGGACGGTAAGCGCCCGGTGTGTCGCTACTGTGGCCACCAATATATGGCCAAAAACGCCACCAAATGTCGCCATCACTTGATAGCGCTGTGCAAACAGATCCCGGAGCCCACGAAAGAGGCGATTGTGCGCCAGTTATACGGAATCGGATCCGCGGCTCAGCCAAAGTCCGACTCAGAGGACACCACCACTCAAGAGATGCGAGATATGGGCGCCGATGATGACGACGACACTACCGGCGCTCTCGCCGATGACTCAATTGACCAGACGATGACGTTAGCGCCGACACTCGCGTACGACATTTGGCAGCATTTTTCGGTGTCGACCGGCGCTCAGGTGTGTCTGTACTGCGGCCACACATACGCGGACCGCAAGGGGAACGCCTCGAAATGCCGGCGCCATCTGCTCGTCCACTGCCAACAGATACCCATTGAGGTCAGGGATGAGATCCATAGCCATAGTAACGACAACTTCCTGATCGCCGGCGATATCATCGGCGACTCGACCCGCGCCTCAGCCCTACGCTCGAGTCGACCCAAATCGCGTGTTTGGCAGCACTTCGCGGAGGAAATGGATGAGACGACTGGCCAGATATGCCGGCGCTGCGTGTATTGCGATAAGCGGTTCGTCGCCGGCACCGCCCGTCACGCGACGAAAATGCGATACCATTTGGCGCTTCAATGCCAACGCATACCGGACGCCGTGCGCCAGTCCCTCATCGGCGACAACCAGGTGTTCGCCCGGCGGGCCAACACACTCCAGGCCCGCCCCAAAGGGTGCAAGTCGTGGGAGTGCTCGTGGCCGGGCTGTGATAAGGCGTTCCCCAAACAGTATGTCCATCACTGAGTGTTATGCGTGTGTTATAGGGGTTGGGCTCTAATGTCCGTTTGTTTTTTGACACGACTACAGGTGCCAACTGTTAGGCCACCAGAAGTACCACACCGGCGAACGCATACACTGCGAGTGGCCGGGCTGTGAGTGGACGGGTAGGACGCGGCACAACCTCACGCTTCACAAGTACTCGCACTCCGGTTAGTATACACACACACACACACCAACTGTATGTCCATTAAATGTATTATTAACTAATGACACGCCTGTCCACTGCCGTGTAGGTGAAAAGCCGTTCGCGTGCGACTGGCCTGGCTGTGAGTTCAAGAGCGCCCGACCCTCCAGTCTTAAGATTCATAAGGTGTGTGCCATTCATGCGATAGTGATATCTATTTGTAGATATTTTGTGTCATTAATGACTCGACTGTTTAGATGCGCCACAAGAACCTGTTGAGGTACCGGTGCGACTGGAAGGACTGCGAGCGGGTATTCCTAACCGGTTCCCAACTCAAGGTCCATAAGCTGGCCCACAGTGGCGACAAACCGCACGCGTGCCAGTTGTGTGACAAACGCTACCCGACCCTCAATAAGCTGAAAGTGCACCAAAACAAACAGCACCCCAACCCCACGCCCAGTGCCTAATACGTGTGCTGACCAGTGGTGGTGGTTTGTGAATGGCTTCTCATTATTAACTTATTATAGCATTTATACGTAAATACTAATTGTATTATAGTTTTTAAAATAATTATCTTTATATATATATAAATACAACGAATAATAATAATTATATAAATACTATAAATGAATGAATTCTTAACGTAATAATTATAAATGGATTCAATAGTATTGACACTTTGAGTGAAAGTTTTGCGGCATATATGCGGCTATATTACAGAATATGTTGAATGTCTTGACTTTTAGTTATTTGCATTTTTTCGTCCGTTTTTCTAACTTTGCTTTAGGTTTCGGCTTAGGCTTAGGCTTCGACTTAATCTTCGGCTTAGGCTTAGTCGTAGCTATGACTTCCAACGACGACATACCCTCGTACTTAGGGTTACTTAAGATTTTCATACGCTTGTCGTAAGCCTTTGCGTTCAATCCATACATTCCGCACACTATTGACTTGAGATCGCGGATCCCTTTCCGTATATCAACCACTGTTTGAGACAAATCTTTATTCTTTGCCTCCGATTCACGTAATCTAAACATGCATTTAAAACACACACACTATTACTACAGGGCCTCCCGGCGTGTGTCCACCGCCACATCCATGTTCACCACATACTTGCGCTCATTATCTATGCCTTTCCGTTTGAGTTTGTCTCGACGTCTTTGTTGGGAATCCCGGTTCCGTTTCAGTAGATCCCGTCGCGCCTCTTCTGCGGTGCACACCTTTCGGGGTCTTCAGCGACCTCTCTTCGCCTTAACTACCGGCGCCTCTGCTAAACAAATCCACTCTTAAGTCAAACTTAGGTCTTATTAATAGCCGTCGGAATCGCTCGTGAATTGGATTCAATGTGTCATACGTTTCGTAATAAACGACAGAATATTCTTGAAATTCCGGAACATTTTGTGTTCGCATAGACTGTGCGCGCGTTTGGCGACCAAATGGCCTAATGACCTAAAACCTTATAATCACTCGAAGTTTTATTTGATGCTAAACAGACATTTAATTATCTTTATATTTTAATATTTTATAAATATACATATGAAAGAATTTAAAAATATATTTTAAAACATATTTAAAGAATGCTTTCATATGTATTAAAAATATAAAGATAATTAAATACTTGTTTCATTGCAATTCTACTAAATAAATATATATTATTAAAGCAATTTAATTTCAACATTTAAATGACATATGTGCATTGTCTAAATAACAATGGTATAAGAAATAAAAATTATACATGTACTATAATAACCATATATCAATGTCAAGGCCATAATATATGCTAAATACAGTTAAATAATATATGCTAAATATATTTAAATATAAGTACAGTTATATAATTAGCAGTAAATTTAATATTAAATTTTATTTTGTAATAACAGTTACACTTATTAAACTTACAGTATTACACTATTAAATATTATTATAATATAATATATTAGCATTTATTAGTAATAAATTATTACATAGACAATAAGTTCTTAAAATAAAGTTGTATTTAGAAAATTCTTGATTATAAATTAGTTATTAATATTCCTGATAAAAAAATATAATATAATTGAGTTCATTGATAGTTCATTTTGCAATATTAGGCACACGTTTTTGAAACTTAAAAATAAGTTCATCCGTGGGCTCTACTGTCAGAGACAACCTCTCATCTAATGACACGACTGTCCCATTATTTGCAGCACTTATTGTATATCTTTGCAGAAGTGATACGAAATACAGGAATACCTCCACTCGTCCTAACGTCTCGCCAATACACGAACGCTTACCTATCGGTCAATACAGACACAGAATATTCTGTAAATTATTAAATAAATAAATTATAATTTAATCGATTCTTTATAAACCCATAGAAAATGGT